AGAACCTTTTCCATTACCTTGATATAGTGAGATTATCTTGATATATGTGTTTATTATATAAGAACCTATCGTGGCGCTGAAGAATCTACTGTCGACCCTGCGCGTTCCTTTGTCATTGGCCCATATTCGTCTAAATATCGCGTTGTACCTGAAGCAGTTAGGGTCGCGGCCACCGAAAGTAGTGAATGACGAGACTGCTGTCACCCACGAGGAAACATCGCGTCCATTCGTCGATTCGACGTATCTCATTCCGATTCCGAAGAGCTCCTGTGCGTTTCTGCTTCAGCACCATTTCTCTAAAAAGGGTGAGAAATGTATTTGCATTTGTCTCTTCATTTGTACACGATGTAAAATGAGTATAAAACAACGTTACGTATTCAATCACAAGCAATTTGGAAGATAATTCAACATTTTGCTAGAAAATATAATTTCTTAATAGAATGACAAGCAGTAAAATGAACCCAGTAAATAACTAACAGTAACAATATTACGATTTCTTTTTGAACAATATAAATGTAATATAACACATGTACATGTATGTAACAGTTACATTGTTAAATATAGAAAATTATAACACTGTTATGTTACTGTTGATTGATAGTTTTTTTTTACTATCAATTAAAGTGTTGCTTTAAATTAAGTAAAAATTACTAAAAATATAACAGTACCAAAATTATCATATAAAAAAAATGGTTTTGTTAAAGTACTTAAAAATTTAGCTAGTACACAAGCCTGAAAATAATTTAGTTGACCCAATTAAAATAATTAAAACAATTATATAGAATGTATGTAGTTATTTTAAATCTGTTAGGACAAACAGTGCACTTTTATATAGCTAAATGAGAACAAATTTTACTATCTAAATTAAGTTATTTTTTAAATACTGTTTTTAACATATAATAAGATTTTTATATCATTGACTTTTCTCAACAATGTTTCGATGAAGATGTTTAATCATTTTGGCATCATCCAACTGGTTACGTTTTATATAAAAAGATTATTAAGTAGAAAGAAACATTTCTGATACAAAATACATAAGGAATAACATGTACACCTAATGCATCTATTTCGTTGAACAATTTTAATATGTACTAAAGATGATTAAAAAGTTAGCCGAAATATAGTAATATATATAGTTTAAGTATTGTAATTGTTTTTAATTAAAAGTCAAATATATGACATAGTATTGACATTAATAGCTATCGCGTATTTTGTATAGTGCTAATTCCCAATAGCCATTAATTTATTACTAGATTATAATTTATATAGAATGCTCGTGCTTACTCATTATGATTGAATGTTCTACATATTCATCTTGACAGCTTCAAATCGCTTTTTTTTCGTGCACACAATATATTGTGATACCAAAAGATATTGTATTGCAACACGACATCTATTGTGATACCAGAGGATCAACGTTGAAAGAAATACAATAAGAGCTTACCAAAGAAATCAATAATACGACAATTGAATCAGATTGGATTGAAAAGAACTGATCTTTTTTAATCCTGAATGCCAACAATCTCATGATTCCTCTTTTATAAGAACAATGATTTCAGTGACTGGGATTCTATTTGTATTTTTCCGAAATTACTTCATCTCATAATTAGTAATCGACGGGATTAGTCAGTCATTAATGAATAAAGGAGTGAGTCGTGCTGCATTATTATTGCAACCGATTAAGTCTAGACGATCGCAATCACGACATCCATTTACGACGATAATATATCGTCGATAAATATATCTTCGATTGGCACTTTAAATACCTATAACTATAATTATATATTATCAGACATATAAAAGTGTACATAAATACTGACACGCCATTCTTAAAACAATAAATATCACATACGTTACGTCATCCTCTCCAGGAGATTATAATTTAAAGGTAAATGAATCTGAAGTAAATTCAACATTTTAAAAGCCAAATTGATGATATTACAGTGAAAGAAAAATTGATTATTGAATTTTAATGAATAATTGTTTCAATAGTATAACGTTTATTTACGGGAAATAAATATTTGCTAAATAAAAAACGTAATAATTAAATCAAATTAATGATTCTTATACCAAATAAATATATGTTTACATATTTATTAAATATTTAATTGATAATATTCAAACAAACATTTATTAAAATTTAGTACATTTTTCTTTCATTATAAAAGAATACTAGGAGCAAATAAAAAGTAATTTTTTAAAGAGAAATATTTAAGTATATCATTTTATTTTTAATTGGATTTAGATAGCATAATGTCTTGTCAAAATATTGTCTTCTTTAATGATTTTTTAAAGATAAGATTGAAATATATTTTAATTTTTGTCTAATTGCTTGTTTAACGACTTTGGAAGAGAAATATAATTTAGATATAAATAAGTCGATATACATCTATATGCCCATTATTTTTGGATTCTTGATCGTAATCGAAAACCATACACGAGTTTGTCAACGAGCCTATAATGCGTTTGTCAACATTAAATCAATCGATTCTTTTTAATCTGGATAAAATATCTCAGATAATACAGTCTTGGTAAAAAAAAAAATATTAGGTACCTTATTAACTATTATTTAAAATTTTCCCAGATAACAAAAAGTGTCTAAAATCATAAGACGTTTTTGCGTCTAAAAGACGACTTGAAGATGTCTTATGTCATAATTTTAAACTTTGTGTTGTTTGAATTAGCTCAAAATGGTTGATTTACGGCATTTGCTGTAAATTATCCTTTGTTTTACGAACCCTTTAAACTATAATGTCAATAATTAACAGATAACAAAGCAAATAAAAGAATTCTAAAAAAATAAAAAAATATAAGCACCTAATATTTTCGACCAAGACTATGAATGACTCAAATATTCGTAAAAAAATCAAAATTAGCGACTCAAAAAAATCCTTTTAGATAAACTTCCATATAAAAGACAAAATTATTCGCTCGCACCAGTTTTAATATAAAATATTGATTTCGAATCCATCAGTGAATTAATTAAAATATCATGATAATATGATATGAGAATTTTTTTAGAGCTGAGTTAAAGAATATAGTGTGATATCAGGAACATATCGGAAATAAAAGGAGATGATAACTAATTGTTTTCAATTTGAAATAGGAATTTTATCACGATTAGACCTGTTCGAAAATCTTTTAATCTGATCTTTCTGAAATCTTAATCGATCTAATTACGTGGCTATATATACACTTAAAATTCTTTTCGGTCTAATATAAACGCGTTATCATTTGTGTAAATAGCATCAGTTGCACATTAAACTGATCTTGTCAGACGATTAGCTGGCGCTTTTGCTTTCCGTAATACAGAATTGCTCACAATTATTTTATACTTGTGGGATGACAATGCTGATGAATCGTCATTTTCGTAAGCCTTATCACGTGGAAAATTTGAACAAAACAAAAGATTAAATCGCATAGATGATGAATAGACACAAGTAATCACCTCTACACTTCCCTATTAGCTGTAAGCGATCGTCAGATAGTACCGTTCGTGAAGGTTCTGTTTGCCAAGAAAGAAGCGTGACAAACAAATAATACGTAAGAAATAGGGGAGAGTGGCACCTTTCATGTGTTACCGTTTTATGATCATTTAATGTCACGCTGACGTTTCACAAATACGACCGCGAGTTACACGTTTTTCAACCGTGATGCTTCGAATGTTTCGAAAATATATGTTACAATTAATAAACATAATTAGATTATTGACGCAAAAGGTCTGTCAAATAAAATATGTCAAGTAAAATTGAGAACAAATTTACAGCGAAGCGAAAGCTGCGAATTTTTCAATCATTTCTATTCTAACTTTACTTAAATTTCCTGCACCCCTCAATTTAATATTTAACTTTCGTAAAAATTCTATAATGTCAATACAAATAAGTAAAGAAGATTATATGCAGATAAAGTGAGCCTGGGTATCTAATATTTTGTATAAATTTTACAATTTCCACTTCAAGCTATCTATGGCATTAAATTATGTTGACAGCAAACGTGAAAAACGCGATACACACAAAAAAAAACATATACTAACATATAATAATTATTTGTTTCAAATATTTCAAAAGTTTATATATCCGCAAATCTATCATAAGTATTACATTTATTTAAAATATATTTTAAATTTTTAATAAAAATCCTTTAATAAAAATTATTAAAATAAATTCCATTTACTTATTAAATTAATTTTATACAATATACTCCAAAAAATTCTTGTTTTGAGTACATAATAAATAGGATTAAGTAAGTTAATTTTTTTTTAACTAAGTTAAGTTAAAGTTAACTTTGAAAATTTAACTTAGTTAAGATAAAAGTTAATCCATAGTGACATTAACTGAATTAAAAGTTAAATTAATAAAAAAGGTCCCAGATAAGCTCTGTAAAAAGCAGATTTTTTAAATATTTGCTACACACTATGTCTACAAAATAACAACAGAATTAGATGTACATAATATTGTTAAAAGACTGCTAGAAAAAAAAACAATAAAATTTGCAATTGTCGATAGGATCTGTTTAGTTTCTGCCAACAATTTGCCTTCACATTATATCGACAGGCGATGTTAATAGAACTAATGCGGACGCAGTTGATGGCAGATTGCCATCATTTTCTCAAACTTGCTGACAGTCTGCTAGAAGACTGCAAACATTTTGCTATCTGGGGTAATTTAAAAGGTTAAATTTGTTTTATTTCATGATTTTAAGTTAACTTTTTTTTTTAACTTAAATTAAAAAATTAAGCTAACTTTTTTAATTAACAAGGAGAGACTCACATATGTATTTTACGGATTTTGATCGGCTTTTGCGTGATTATTCTGGGACATCAAAAAATAATTTCTATAAAGCAGTAAATTACATTTCTGTGTATTTAAAAAAAAAAAAATAATTTTAGATCATGATGACGGATCGCTTTCGAATCTCTTTATTCTTTGCTTAAACGTAAATGAAATATTTGGATTTATTTAAAATTAGAAAAACATATCCCCGACAGACACGAATGAATAAGCATATACTTCAAGTAGGAATCCGTATAACGCCTACTATTCAACTCTGATGTTAACTTTTAAAAAATCAAATTATAAGTTAATGCAATTAACAATTAGTTGCTGATAAAATATAACTATATAAAGTTAAAAAGTTAAAATGTGTAACTGAATAAAGTTAAAATTAATTAACTTTTTAATTTAGCATTACCCAATCTTGATAATAATTTTCTAAAATTTGCAATAAGTATATATTAAAATTATTATCAAGAAAATATTCTTTGTTAAAGATAATCGTTATTTAAAAGAAAGAAAATAAATTTTTTCTGTGTTTATAATCACCTGCATTTCAAGATCGTTGAGATTTTATACCAATATACTTTTATTAACACTTCATTAAAAATTTCATAAAATTACTTGCGAAATTTTAAATTTTCTTTTGTATTGTTTCTCAGCTATATTATACCGACATCTGTTACCGTCGTATCTTCAAACAAATATTCGTACTACAGTTTCTATATATCCCAATACGAGATATGACATATCTTTGACATCACAGATTTGTTGTGTGACGTATCTCGATGTATCATTAAATACTTGAAATCAGGAATTGTTATTATCTTCTATAAACGCGTAAACAGTTGCATTTTCATAAATGGTGTACTTTTTTTTCTTCACAGTTTTATTTATCTGTTAATAAATTAATATATATCTTAAAATTTTTTTTTACATTGAGTGATAACGTCGTCAGAATTTGTAGCACTTCAAAATTTTTATATAATGGGGATGAATTAAAATAAAAACTTTTTGGACTGTATAATTATACAAATATTCTAAAATTCACAACAGCTTGATAAAAATAAATAATTAAAATTCATTGAAAGTTCCTAAATTTCATCCCAATTTACTCAAAATCCTGACATGCTACGCAATTTCTATCAATGACATCGTAATCAGCGCGAAATAATCTTCGAGGTATGCATATTATGACGTTTTGCAAAGAATTCGATATGATATCATGTAATGAATGTACTTGTGATTATCAACAGATGAATTAAGAAAATAACTAAAAAAATTTTTATAAGTATTTTATATTGATTTTAAAATATTTACAGTTCTAAAAAATTGACTTACAAAATGGCAAATAAGGGCAATTCAATATAACGAATAAAAATGCATAATAATTTATTGCGTGATGATCGTCGAAAATATTCATCGCAGATTTATTAACGTGCCTGATAAATAATATATTCATAATTCACGTGCAATAATAAATTAATATGACAGGCAACTTCGGTACCATGTCTGATGCTGCAAATCTCTTATCTCTTATCATGACTGAAACTCGAGCAAATTAATGACGTAATAAAATATTGCGCGTATGACACATATAACACAATTTCACGAAATTTTATCTTGTAAAATTACGACGAAATAATAGCGGTCAAACAGATGTGCTCATTAACTTCCGCGTATTCAGGTCATAAATTATGTGTTTACGTCAAAAATATAGTAATTTATCTGCATCAAGACGTACAATCTTATTACACATGCATTTAAGAATTATCGCCGAAAATTAACAGAGAAATTTTTAGGAAAAACATATACAATATTACTAAATATATTTATAGCAATTAAAAAAGATCAATACAAATCATGATGCGATGAAAAATCCATGAAATTAAGATCCTTAACTTTTTTCAGTTTTTGAGAAATAATAATTGAATCATTATTAAAGATATGTGTCATTAACAAGTAATAATGTTCGTTTAATTGCCTTAAATTAGCTCTATTGGAATTGTCAAAATATTTTGGCCCATGTCAGCTTTTCTTCACATTTCAACTGTTTAAATTATCGTGAAGTGTTTTTTACCTTTAAATCTCTCATTTTTTTTCCTCTCGCGGATTTTATCATTTTAAGAAAAGCCGAAAGCTCCCCAGCCTTCTCATGGAGGCAGCTGATATCTTATCTCGAATCAGCTTCAGACTTGCTCCGGAAGTCAAGGTACGCGATGTCGTTCCATGGTCTATGATCATTCGTCTGATCGCGATCGCGCAAGGAAGCTACTTGTCGATCGTCCGTCTTTCTTTCCGTAGAGACGGGAACTCCGCGAAGAAAGAAATTTCACGAATACTTATACTGGTACTGTTATCCGTCAATTGACGCCGTTTTGCCGAGGGGGTAGCCCACGTTAGAGGTGAAATTCACAGTAGCGACGCCGACGGGATACCACCTTGGGCGTTCACGATTCACCAATGAACGCGGGGCGTCGCCCTCGTCAAGGACAACATCGCAGTAACTGCAGCAGCAGCACCAGGAAGCGACGGCACTGCGACGGCACGTCCACGAAGGAGAACTTTCGGCGTGCGAACACCTGCAGAACGTCCAGCGATTTAAGCGGCGATCATGGGTGAATATTTAAATAATTATTATTACTGTAAATAATATATTATATCATAAATACTATTGTATGCCCTGGTGAAAATTTTTCATACAACTTTTCAAAATTTTTATATTTTCAAAGAATTTCAGAATAATTTTATAACTTTTTAAAAAATTTTTCAAATTTTGGTTTGTCAAGCTCATTGGACTTCTTTACAGAGATATCAAAAAAATCTATATCTTTCCTAGGATTTTTCGTATAATATTTAATTCTGGAACATTCTAAGACTTTTCATTCTGTAATTTCTGATAAAATATTATAAAATACGAAAAGGTTTTTGATACTCTTTCAGAAATTATAGAATACGACGATTTTTATGCCAACAATTTTTACTCCAATTTATTGGATTAAAATTTTAGAATAATTTAATTGAAAAGTACTTACATCTTATTCTTTTTGTTGCAGGACTCGACTTCCTGGCAGACGGAGGTGCCGACTTCGAGCATGCAATCACCGTAACAGGCAAGGATTTGTGAAGAAATTATAGATCTAATAACCTAACTTCAATCAAAATGTCCAAGTGCCTATTAGTCCTGCAATTTAGTCACAGTCTGAAACACAAAAATCTTTTAACAATTCGCGAAAGTTGGTAATATTGACATATTAAAGAAGAATATTTAAAGATACCAAAATTTTTGCGGGATTATTTATAAGATAATCTTTAATATTAATTGCAATTATCCATTCTTATTGAACTCAATGTGCGTTAGGTTTTGGAAGATTCCATTACATGCTGCTGACCCTCTGCGGTCTGATTTACATGGACACAGCGATCGGTGTGACGATACTTTCGTTCGTACTTCCAGCAGCGCAATGCGACCTAGAGATGGACTCTACCGCAAAGGGTTGGCTGACTGCTTCACCAATGCTAGGTCGATGTTTCTTTCATCTTTCGTTTGTTTATGCTGACTTTATTTATTAGGAGAAAGTCGTCTCAATTAAGATACTTTTGCAGGTATGTTAATTGGATCGTATATATGGGGATGCCTGGCTGATACGAAGGGCAGGAAGATCGTGTTAATAGCTACACTGCTAATGGACGGCGTCGTGGGCATCGTGTCTTCGTTCGTGCAATACTTCTGGGTGTTTCTGGTCTTCCGGTTTTTCAACGGCTTTGCGTGAGTATGATAGAATAGATTCTGAAGCTAAAAGTTAATCTTTGATTAGTAAATACGTTGAAGCCGGTATAATAAAAATTTACATCACAAAATTAGAATTATATCCTACGACCGAAATGATTTAGTATCAAAGGCCAAAATTAAAGAAAAATTTCTTTTTTTTTTCACAAATTTCAAAAATCACTTGGGTTTTGATAGAACATTTTTCTTTTAATACTCTGTGTTTTTAAAACTAGGACGTTTCGAAAATATAATCATATAAAGTTGTCGTCTTGAATTAAAATGCGAAGAATTACTCTTTAAAATCTTTAAAATACTTAAAGACAACTCTATATAAAATGATTTTACTCAGTTAAAAGTTTTAATTATTACGCAGCATGACCGGTGCCATGGGCATCTGCTTTCCGTATCTTGGTGAATTTCAACCCACGAAATACCGCGAACGCTGTCTCTGTTGGATGGAGATGTTCTGGACGGTCGGTGTGATAGTTCTACCGCGTAAGTACTCCTATAATCTTCCTCTTAAGGGATAAGAGTTCGAGAAACTGGCATCCAAGTTGAATAATTTCTAGTAATCGCCTGGCTGATCATTCCCATGGATTTCATTATCGTGAGCGACACGTTCTATTTCAAATCCTGGAATCTCTTTGTCGCGCTCTGTGCTCTGCCATCACTCATGCTTGGCTTGTGGCTGTTTACTTTCCCCGAAAGCCCAAAGTTCCTGCTGGAGTGTGGCGAAACTGATGCTGCCCTCGAGGTGTTCAAGTGGATTTACTCGCGAAACACCGGCGCTGATCCTGAAACCTATCCGGTATTATTGCTTTAATTTTCTTAATAGAAAAATAATGAAAATTAATGATGTCAAACTCTCTTATGTGTGTACATTGCAAAATTAAAACATCAATACAAAAAATAAACGCAAGAAAAAGTGACTTGCTTAAGTATCTAAATAATTAATTATTGTAACAGTTATAATAATAGATACAAATCTGAAAATGATTTTATTAAACTATCAAAGAATTATGTAAAACGCTCAAATTGATTGCTAGAATGTTAACATTTTTGTAGCTCATCATGTTTGAGCTTCCTACATACTTATTTTGATGGTCTAACAAAAATGTTTAAATTGGTATTTATCAAAATTTTATATACTTCAGCAATTGATAATAATTAAATGTTTGATAAATATGGAATATGTCTAATGAACGTTAATGATAAAATAAACTAATTATTACTATATGTGACTCCGAAATACTTGATATTTTAAATTACATTAAAAATATGATTAAAAAGTGACTTTAAGTCCGTCATTTTCAATATTTAAAGAACATTTTTAGTGTGTTCTAAAAAATAATTTTAAATTAAATATTCTACTTTATTTTTTCTTTTCTTTTTCCATTCCAGGTGAAGTGCTTACAAGAGAAAGCGAAACATCAAGATAAAAGCACCAGGTCACTGAAGCTACTCAAGCGAAAGGATTTGAAGGTTCTATTCGCGGAAATACGTGATCTGACGAGTGCGCTCTGCAAGCCGCCCTATTTACGCAATACCGCACTTGCCTGCGTCATTCAATTCGGACTAACCAGCAGCTACTACACTTTGATGGTCTGGTTCCCAGAATTATTCACTAGGTAAATTTCGTCATTAATCTACGCGCGTATCTTATCAGTTTTTCCAAGTTCTTAGGCCGAAAAAAACTCTTTCACATCATACATATTATAAATCCAAGGATAGATGTAAATCAGCCAATGCGAGCCATCACAGGTTAGGCGCATGTGAAATCGTATACTTTATTTTTAAGAAAAATTGACAAATGTTTCAACCCTTTCGATTGGGTCTTCTTTAGTGTAAAAATAAAAATAAAATCGGTGACGTATAAATTTAATATAAATAACAAAAATACAAGGACTCTTCGTATATAAAATAAATAACAATGAAGGGCGAAGTAAGAGTCAGCGCATTTCTTTAAAAAGTCATATAATTAAAGGCATAAATGTATAAAAAAATGAACTAAATGTGCAGGACACAGAATTTCTAGATCCATTATACCAAGATCTATTTAAAAAGTTTTGACATTTCCATGTTTTATTTCTTTGGTTTATTGTATAAAACATGTATTGTATAAAACATAATATTGTATTTATTTATTAACGCTTTATATTTATATTGTATTTATTTATCACTATGTTTTATACCTATGACT